AAAATACCACAGTGCCATATCGCAAAAAATGGCCTGGTCAGGAAGGATATTCTTCAGATATTCCTCTAAATCTGATATGCCTGATGTATTTTCCTCTGTGTCCTCACGTGCTTATGCTCGGTCAAGTAACACTTGTGTCACTTTAACTGTAGTGTGATCAGTAATTTTCGGTCCAGTTAAAGGGACAAGCGTTTCTTGACCGAGTATAAGCATGTGAAGTCAATATACTAAGGTGAGAGTACATCTGGTGGTGGTTAAGCACAGTGTATAAAAGGAACAAGGAGGTGGAACTCACTCAGAGGAAAATAAAACACATCAGGCATATCGGATTTAGAGGAATATGTGAAGAATTGTTCTTTGCTTATGTGGACATAATAGCACCAGAGTCATTTAATGTGGCTGTATATTACATTCCACTTTATTGCTAATCTGTTTCTATATGGGTTGCATATGATTGATGGAAGTTGGTTCATTTATTTATCATACACTAGCGACTTACCTTTGATGACATTCTTTTTACAACTTGCTAACTAAATTTGTTCAAGATTGTTGTATTGGATCGCGGTATTGAATATACACTCACCAGCCACTTTATTAGGTACATCCAGGGGCGGACTGACAACTCATGGGGCCCCCAGGCAATAGGGGATCATGGGACCCCTGTGTCCTTGCCCACACCCAAAAAAGCCTATGAAAAAGCCAATGAATAATACCAGGGGCATCTCATGGGGCCCCCTACTGACCCCGGGCCCTCGGGCAGTGCCCGAGTGCTTGAATGGTCAGTCCACCCCTGGGCACACATGTTCAATTGCTTGGTAATACAAATTGCTAGTCAGTCAATCACATGGCAGCAACTCAGTGCATTTAGGCATGTAGATGTGGTGAAGACGACTTGCTGAAGTTCAAACCAAGCATCGGAATGGGGAAGAAAGGGGATATAACTGACATTGAACATGGCAATGATTGTTGGTGCCAGACGGACTGGTCTGAGTATTTCAAACACTGCTGATCTACTGGGATTTTCACACACAACCAGAGAATGGTCAGAAAAAGAGAAAATATCCAGTGAGAGGCAGTTGTGTGGACAAAAATGCCTTGTTGATGTCAGAAGTCAGAGGAGAATGGGCAGACTGGTTGCTGCGACATTCAGATGGTAGGGTCAGAATTTGGTGTAAACAACATGAAAGCATAGATCCATCCTGCCTTGTATCAATGGTTCAGGCTGGTAGTGGTGGTGTAATGGTGTGGGGGATATTTTCTTGGCACTAGCAAGGTGTACCTAATAAAGTGGCCGGTGAGTCAGAGTATCTATAGACACCTTTAGGCTACATGTACATGGGCTCATTTGCACAGTATATTTCTGGTGTACATGTGCTAGTTTATGTAAGGAGTGGAGCATAGCTGCATACAACTGCCTTCACCCATTTATGTCTATGGGTGGCTGTATGCACCTCTAGGATATCCTGGGTACCAGAAATATGCAGTGTATTTATGCTGCATGCGCAAATGCACTTGTGTGCATGTAGCCTTAGGCTGGCCATAGACAGCTCAAGGAAGCAAGTCATTTTCAAGCACTGCTAGCAATAGTTTGACCACCTCTGAACTGAAAGAGGAGAACAACTAGTGCAGATGATCATGTTCATTGTAGCTCAGGGAGATCTACAGAAAACAGTTTAAAAGTAAAGGTTCAGCTTGTAGCACCGCTCAAAGCCAGAAGACATGAGATAACCCCACCGGTAACAGAAAGTGGGAGCCAGTGTCCTTGCATTGATTCAGGGACAATGGAAGTATAGAAGGACAGACGCTGCATCCTCCCCAGTAAGAGTAGGGTGTTGGCCTCAGCTGCCCCTAGGGGGTGTGGCTGGAGCAGCAAAAGTAAAGGTTCAGCTTGGAGCACCGCTCAAAAGCCAGAAAGTGGGAGCCAGTGTCCTTGATTCTTGAGTATAAGGACAGATGCCCACCTAGGGGGGTGGAACAGCAAAAGTAAAGTGGGAGCCAGTGTCCTTGCATTGATTGATTCAGGGACAATGGAAGTATAGAAGGACAGATGCCGCATCCTTCCCAGTAAGAGTAGGGTGTTGGCCTCAGCTGCCCCTAGGGGGTGTGGCTGGAGCAGCAAAAGTAAAGGTTCAGCTTGGAGCACCGCTCAAAGCCAGAAGACTTGAGATAACCCCACCGGTAACAGAAAGTGGGAGCCAGTGTCCTTGCATTGATTCAGGGACAATGGAAGTATAGAAGGACAGATGCCGCATCCTTCCCAGTAAGAGTAGGGTGTTGGCCTCAGCTGCCGCTAGGGGGTGTGGCTGGAGCAGCCGTCTTTCTTTAAAAAGTAAAAAAGTACTACATATACACCTCTGTCAGTAAAGGGAGAGAAAGCAGATGGGTTCATGCAATGCAGGAAAATATCCCTACACATTTTTTCCCTTGCATCTATCTATCAATCGATGACCAAACTAACTGGTTGACAGGAAATTCATATATTATAGACTGCTTAAAAATTAACATCAAGCAAATATAAAAAAACACAAATTAATGCATTAATACATTTCATTTTTTTACATGCTGTTGTAGTTTTGTACATTCAATGAATTTGGTATCAGCCTTTTGCAGTCCCTTATACAGCAGAGCTATGAACGGCTGGGGCAGTGCTTGGAGCCAATCTGGTATGCTGTAGGCAAATGTGCTAAGCATGCTTATTGGAGGAGAGAGCACAGTGAGCAGAGAGAGTGACTTCATCAGTCCGTGGCTGCTTTTTCATTGTCCAGTGAAAAGCCTGGAGGTGAATATAGGACACCACTGTGTTCCTAACTGTAAGTGTTATCATCCATCTGGCTGTGTTGTTTGACAGGGCTGGACAATCACAAATACAAATCCTTTCACAGGAAATACAGCTCCCTTATATGTATTTCATTTGTGTGCAGCTGTTTGTCTAGTTCAGCTTTACTTGGTCATAGAAAAAGACTTGAGAGCTTTATGATCTCTTAACTATCACTAGTGTTGGTTAGATATTACTTCTAGAAATGAGGCAATGGTGTGGTCTGAACCCTTTCGCCCCTTTGCCCCCCTGTTTGGCGGAGGCAGAACATCATATATTGAAGTTGTATTTCTACCAGTTCTATATACAACAGTGCCTTGCTCTCAATAATTGCTAAGGCAGGGGCGGATGTTGGTGCCCACTGCATCCTTTGCAATTGTTAATGTCACTGACACCAATGACAAACATGACCAGGAATTCCTAGCCACATAAGCAAAGGGGAGGGGACAGTGGTCACATTGCCAGAAGCCATATTTGGGCAATGACGTTAGTAAAATATGGTCATGGCCATATTTGATCAATGATGTCACCACCATACCCACCCCTTTTTATAGCTGTGGCTTGGCGAGGAGTAACAATGAGATTGGTTCGTGTGCACTAGGTTCATGGGGTTTTTTCTTTTTACAAGTTGGGGGGGTTCATTTTTATAATAGAAGACTTTTCAGATGTCGGGGTGTCTATATTTATAGCTTGTTTGGGGAATGAGTAGGGGTAATGTACCCCTTGATATTTACATAGGGGAAAAGTATCTTGGGGCCCCCTTATTTTAAACGAGGGCTTCCAGATTCCAATAAGTTACCCACCAGCAGGATTTTGAGGAAGTGACCTATGCCCTCATTAACATGGAAGCTAGGTGCCTTGCCATGGTACCCCCTCCTGTCAAGTTTACACCCCCCCCCCCAGACAGCAAGCTCAGATGAAGGGTCTTGTATGGATGTTTTGGATCCCACACACTGTTTTGAACGGGGATCCCCCTTAAAATTGTTTGGGTCTGGTATAGATTTCCTTGGGGACCCTACGTATCCTTTTATTTTTGTTTTGTTGTGTGGGGTGCCTCCATAATATCCATACCAACCTTAAAGGTTCTGGTATGCATTCTGAGGTAGACTCTACACATTATTGCTGTATCATGTGCTACAGCAAAAGTGGGATTTACTAAGAAAAAAATAAATCATACTGGTTAAAGTGCTGGCAAACAATGTTTCATTTATTTTTTTTTTCTTAAAAAGCACACAGACCTCTCCATAGGTCAGCAAAATACAAAACAGCTGAATACCAGCCCCCCAGTTATGGTATTTAAAGGAATTTTTTTAGGTTCCACTTTAAGCTTTTAAATTACGGTTCCCAGCCAAAATTTCATTGGTAAAAGGGCAGTGCCCACCCCATGTTATTTTCCTTTGCAAAACCATTGCCTATAAGCTCAGAAAAGTAGCGTTTTTTATTTGATGGATTTGGCTCCAATTGATTTCAATAGGGTTCAAGCTCAGCATTCAAACTTCTGTGGAGTTTGTTGAATCCTGCTTAAAAAAGAAACCAGGGCAGTTTGGCTCATTCCTAATTACTCAGTAATAGAAAATCTGCACATACTCTATACTTGCATTAAAGAAAGAAATAGACCCATCTAAAAGAGATTAACAATTTCACATTTACTCCTGCATAATTCAAACACATGCTGATCAGTTACATCTTGGAACCTGGCAAGTAGATCAGCACTGTAAGGTCCCAGGAACCTGCTTTGCCACAAATGTAACAAACATTATTCTGTTTGACCAGTGGCTTCACCTCTGCATTCCTCCTGGTGATGTTACTGCATGTAACAGATGCTGCAAGGAAGCCAAAAGATTTGGAAAAGATCTCAGCATGAGTTTATAAACTGGCAGATATCAAGCTCAATGGGCTTCACTCAAATCTCAATGGACAGTGTTAAGTGAATATGTTTATAGCCCTAATTAGGTTCCATTCCATACAACATATAGACTAGTGAAGCAGAGTCTGAATTTCTTGGACTACTGCAGCAAGACAGACGTTGGCACACAGTACTCTTCTGTCTGAGAATGATGTAAAGTAATAATAATAAATACACTGGTAGAGATTACATCATACAGTTATTCTCTGTATGTGGTTTGCCATCGATGACTGTTGATTCCAAAGACACATCAGAAATTGTCACTGTGGGAGTTCTGTCTTTGCTGTCAGAGATTTCTGATAATGGGTTAATAGTATCTTCTATCAGGGACAAGCACACTGTTTCTGGAGATGGAGATCTGGTGTCTGTAGTATGATCTTGTTCTCTGCAATTTTCAGTAGTAACTTCCAAATAAAGGTCAGTTTGTAGAAGCTCCGGGTCACTGTAGGAGCAAGTTGTATTGCAGCTATCGCATGGTTCATCTGTTGGAAGTTTCAAGAATTCTGGTAGAACAAGGTCCTCTTTGCACAGTAACCCACGCTGGTCATCTGCCCGAGTGCTCTGAACTCTGTTTAGCATCTCTACCAATCCTACAAGACCAAACATTTCTGAGTTACACATTGAACCAAGATTTGTAAGCCTTTAGTTCCCTCTCCACCTAATGGTAGCTGAGAGCTGAATTAATGGCCTAATGGCCATGGTGACAGCTTACAGGGGTTTAAATGCTCATCTCTGCCAGAGTCAATGCTGCAACAGAATCCCTTTAATCATCGAACAACTGATACTCTAGGCATTGGTCAAACTGTTTCTGCTGAAGGAGAGGATCAGCGAACCTGGACACTTATACCTCTTTCAACAAAGATCACATGACCTAAAGCCTAGGCTTTTGGCTGTGTGATCACAACTGAAGGTAAACCAGGGCAGCATTTTTTCCAGAAAAGGTAAATATTGCATTGCTTTATTTAATCTTTATTTATCCACCTCAGTTAATACAATTCTGTGAACAATTGATATTATGGTACCACTAGGCTTCCTATGAGAGCTATTTTTAATTTTGTGAGCTTGTGAAGTTAAGGGTTTCCCACTTGTCTTCTCTCCTTTTTTCTCTAGTTGCCCCTATTTCTCTATCCCATGGGAGGGGCAATGGGGACCTTTGGCCACTCCCCCTCAGTTCTTTCATTGCTTCTCAGTTTAGGTTTTATTAAATGCATTTATGGTACTGGGATACTTCATAGGCCTTACAATTTTTGCCTCACTTACTGATTGATATTGTTTTTCTATATAATTTGGCACAGATGTGTACTGTACTTGGATTGTAAGGGTTGCTGTTACTCTAACATATCCTAGGAACTATGAATAAATAGGGGATATGGGGTTGTCATATCGCCTTTTTTACTCAAAAACCTCAACGGTTTTGTTATTATATCTTTATATAAATAAAGAATTTACAAAAAAAAAAAAAAATACACTGTGTTACCGTTAGGGTACAAGTGTACTTGATGGTGGTTAAGTAGTTTCTTTCACCCCTTTGTATATTCCATGCTAGCTAGCCACAGGGGCAGACTGACCATTTGGAAACTCAGGCACTGCCCGAGGCCCGGGGTCAGTAAGGGGCCCCATGAGATGCCCCTGGTACCTTTTTCATAGGCTTTTTTGAGTTTGGGCAAGAACACAGGGGCCCCATGATCCCCTATTGCCTGGGGGCCCCATGAGTTGTCAGTCCACCCCTGGCTAGCCATACATAATATAAATAAGAGTGGATTCTGGAGAACAGGTTTTGAGCATATCAATATAAATTATTCACCCCCTAGAGAAACGAAAACTATATTCTTCATCATCTAGGTGGTAATGTTAATTATTTTATTACCGCATAGATTTAGACTTTACAAATTCTCTAGCTTTCATAAAACAATCCTCTTTTATCTCATTCTGTTAACTACTGCACAGTATGGCACACAGTTGACATACCTTCAATGTCATTGTTGGGTCGATAAGGCCTATTTTTTGTTTGGCCAGGTTTGTTAAACTTGGTGGCAGTTGAAGCATGATTTGCAGAACAAGGTTCCTTGTTTGCTCGATGGTGGTGATCTACTCTTTGCATATTTAGTCCAGTTTTCTCCTTTGTTGCATGTTCTTTCTGTATAGAATTCAACATCAAGATACGTTTCAGCTACAGAAATATAATAGATTGCTGTTTAAAGATGTTTTTGCTCATGACAAAGTTTGGGCAAGAACTGCCACCCTGGTTTTTTATCACATTTTCATGCAACTAGACTGCGCAGGACTTTCAGAAAAAGGTCTGCAGATTCTTTCTAGTCATTTTGTGCTGTGCAACCCCCTGCAAACCTATGCTTTGTTGTATAAAAAGCTTCCAGGAGATCACAGTATGGTGAATGAAGGGTATGAAAAAATTCATTCTGAATGGCCAGGAGTAATGTATAACCATACTGGGGCTGTGTTGGGGCAAGCATATTTAAAAATAGACAATCTTACTAACATATAATGCATTTTCATATGGGCAAATTTCTATGGGGGTAATAATGCCAGAATGAAAATTACACATGCAGCATAGGTAAGCAGTGCTTGCTATAACTATTAAAATAGCATTTTTTCATGGTAGAATGTAGTGTGCTAGGGACAAAGCCCCTGTACACCGGGACCGTGGGACAAAGGTGAAAATGTGGTTATGTCCCGCCCAATCCAGGACTGTTGAAGTATGGAAATATTTCAACAGTCCTGGATTGGGCAGGACATTCCCACATTTTCACCTTTGTCCCACGGTCCCGGTGTACAGGGGCTTTGTCCCGCATTACTCTATCTATTCTTTTTATGCTAACTTCCAGCCAAGCAGGACCTGTAGTAGTGTGAACAGTGTGCACATCTAGCACAGCCAGGGATTGGCGGGCAAGCCAGTGAGGCTTGCAGCCGCAATGAGAGAGCGCTTATAGCTGTGAACTCCAACCTGTGATGTCGGGGATAGGCGAGACCGATACGCATTTAAGGGGCCCTGCCCCCTTTGTCAAGCAGGCACTGCATAGATAAACAGCTGACATTTATACATTGCTGGCCAAGGAAGATGGTGACATGGGGCAGAACCAATTGGAACTGCATGTGCACCCACAGCAGTGTATAATAAACCTGAATTATACACTGCTGCGGGTGCATATACAGTAGTTCCAATTTGTTCTTGCCCCTTGCCACCCCACCTTTTTCGTGGTTGGCACTGTAAAAATGCCAGCTGTTTCCCTATGAATGTGTTATTTTTTTAAACGGGGGCAGAGCCCCTGAAACGCAAATCGGCCCAGCTCATCCCCGACATCACAGGTTGGACTTGACAGCTGTTCTCTCTATCATCGCAGTCGTCATCCCCTCTCCCCACTGGCTTGTTCACCAAGCCCTGGCTGTGGTAAATATACACAATATTGCAGGTCATTCTCGGCTGCGCTTATTTGTTATCCATTTGATGCCTGCATTCTTGCCTTGGAACCTGTATGCTGTTAATCAAGATTTTAGAATATGTGTTTGTTTAATTGGTGTCTTTGCGGTTTAACTAACTTCAGAATCACTCTTCCACTTACATAATGCCTTTCTGAATCCTGCACTCTGTATGAATCTCACTTCTGAACCTTGACTCTGTAAAACGCATTCCTGAACTCTGTATGAATCTCACTTCTGAACCTTGACTCTGTACAAACGCATTCCTGAATCCTGCACTCTGTATGAATCTCTCACTTCTGAACCTTGACTCTGTACAAACGCATTCCTGAATCCTGCACTCTGTTTGAAACACACACCTGAACCTTGCAGTCTGTACATAATGCATTCCTGAATCCTGCACTCTGTATGATACGCATTCCTGAATCCTGCACTCTGTATGAAACACACTCCTGAACCTTGCACTCTGTATGTAACACATTCCTGAATCCTGCCCTCTGTATGATACGCATTCCTGAATCCTGCACTCTGTATGAAACACACAGCTGAACCTTGCACTCTGTACGTAACGCATTCCTGAATCCTGCACTCCTCTGTATGAAACGCACTCCTGAACCTTGCACTCTGTACGTAACGCATTCCTGAATCCTGCACTCTGTATGAAACGCACTCCTGAACCTTGCACTCTGTACGTAACGCATTCCTGAATCCTGCCCTCTGTATGATACGCATTCCTGAATCCTGCACTCTGTATGAAACGCATTCCTGAACCTTGCACTCTGTACGTAACGCATTCCTGAATCCTGCACTCTGTATGAAACGCACTCCTGAACCTTGCACTCTGTACGTAACGCATTCCTGAGTCCTGTACTCTGTATGATACGCATTCCTGAATCCTGCACTCTGTATGAAACGCACTCCTGAACCTTGCACTCTGTACGTAACGCATTCCTGAGTCCTGTACTCTGTATGAAACGCACTCCTGAACCTTGCACTCTGTACGTAACGCATTCCTGAATCCTGCACTCTGTATGAAATGCACTCCTGAACCTTGCACTCTGTACGTAATGCATTTCTGAATCCTGCCCTCTGTATGATACGCATTCCTGAATCCTGCACTCTGTATGAAACGCACTCCTGAACCTTGCACTCTGTACGTAACGCATTCCTGAAATCCTGCCCTCTGTATGATACGCATTCCTGAATCCTGCACTCTGTATGAAATGCACTCCTGAACCTTGCACTCTGTACGTAACGCATTCCTGAGTCCTGTACTCTGTATGATACGCATTCCTGAATCCTGCACTCTGTAGGAAACGCACTCCTGAACCTTGCACTCTGTACGTAACGCATTCCTGAATCCTGCACTCTGTATGAAATGCACTCCTGAACCTTGCACTCTGTACGTAACGCATTTCTGAATCTTGCCCTCTGTATGATACGCATTCCTGAATCCTGCACTCTGTATGAAACGCACTCCTGAACCTTGCACTCTGTACGTAACGCATTCCTGAATCCTGCCCTCTGTATGATACGCATTCCTGAATCCTGCACTCTGTATGAAACGCATTCCTGAACCTTGCACTCTGTATGTAACGCATTCCTGAATCCTGCACTCTGTATGAAACGCACTCCTGAACCTTGCACTCTGTACGTAACGCATTCCTGAGTCCTGTACTCTGTATGATACGCATTCCTGAATTCTGCACTCTGTATGAAACGCACTCCTGAACCTTGCACTCTGTACGTAACGCATCCCTGAATCCTGCATTCTGTATGATACGCATTCCTGAACCTTGCACTCTGTACGTAACGCATTCCTGAGTCCTGTACTCTGTATGAAACGCACTCCTGAACCTTGCACTCTGTATGTAACGCATCCCTGAATCCTGCACTCTGTATGAAACGCACTCCTGAACATTTCACTCTGTATGTAATGCTACACATGCCGCAGGTGACTTCCTCCTTAAAGTGTCCCTCATTCTGAAGTTCAAAAGTTGGGAGGTATGTTTAATACTGTGCATGCGGATGGGCCTTTTGATCCCAGTTTTTATGGGATTCCAGTCAGTAATAAACATAGCACATTACCTTAACTTGTTTTTCAACCGTATGTCCTTCTGCTTTTATAGGATCTTTTACATCTGTTGAGATAGGAAAAATGTACCATAAAACTTCTAGCTTTACTCATTCAGCAGTGAAAAGATTATATTACTAATGACATGATTTTGTGCCTTGCTTTTAGAATTATTATTATATATTATTATAATTATATTATTATTTACAAAAAGATGAATAAAAATACCCATTCTGGCATTAGTTATAACATTATTGTGTTCTCGTATATATTTTACAATATATATTGTTTTATAATATACTTTTTTAACCTTTACGTTTTAACCATGATGGCTATATTTGGGACTAACCATTTTCATATAAATGATTGATCTGACTCATGTCTAAGAGTTCAGTCTTCAGCATTTTTTTAGGGTATTCCTTCTGCATACATTTGTATTACATCAAACTACATACAACACGAGTCTAACCTCATCACACCTGCTGGCAAAGCCTCCTTCTTTATTCTCACCTCTGTTTGGTTTTACTGCACAGTTAGAACAGGAAGTAAAACAAGTCTAGTAAAAGAACAGGAAGTGAGAGTAAATCTTTCTAACTGAGCCCTGTATAGCAGTAAAAATCTGACAGGGGCTCTAACTCTTACCCATTCTATCCAAAACTAAAAGGTTTTGGTTTTCACTGTTAAAGTAGAAGTAAAGTCCACTTTGTAAGTTGTACCTACAGGTAAGCCGATAATAAGGTCTGTAGGTACTGTGAATACCGTATTTTTCGCTCCATAAGACGCACCTGACCATAAGACACGCCTAGGTTTTAGAGGAGAAAAAACAAGAAAAAAAATATTCTGAACCAATGGACTGCAGACACAGTACAGGAGATGACCAGAGACTGCAGACACAGTACAGGAGATGACCAGAGACTGCGGACACAGTACAGGGGATGACCAGAGACTGCGGACACAGTACAGGAGATGACCAGAGACTGCGGACACAGTACAGGAGATGACCAGAGACTGCGGACATAGTACAGGAGATGACCAGAGACTGCGGACATAGTACAGGAGATGACCAGAGACTGCGGACACAGCACAGGGGATGACCAGAGCCTGCGGACACAGCACAGGGGATGACCAGAGACTGCGGACATAGTACAGGAGTTGACCAGAGACTGCAGACACAGTACAGGGGATGGCCAGAGACTGCAGACATACTACAGGAGATGACCAGAGACTGTGGGCATAGTACAGGAGATGACCAGAGACTGCAGACACAGTACAGGAGATGACCAGAGACTGCGGACACAGTACAGGAGATGACCAGAGACTGCGGACACAGTACAGGGGATGACCAGAGACTGCAGATATAGTACAGGAGATGACCAGATACTGCGGACACAGTACAGGGAATGACCAGAGACTGCGGACACAGTACAGGAGATGACCAGAGACTGCGGACACAGTACAGGAGATGACCAGAGACTGCAGACACAGTACAGGAGATGACCAGAGACTGCAGGGGACACAGTACAGGAGATGACCAGAGACTGTGGACACAGTACAGGGGATGACCAGAGACTGCGGACACAGTACAGGGGATGACCAGAGACTGCGGACACAGTACAGGGGATGACCAGAGACTGCGGACACAGTACAGGGGATGACCAGAGACTGTGGACACAGTACAGGGGATGACCAGAGACTGCGGACACAGTACAGGGGATGACCAGAGACTGCGGACACAGTACAGGGGATGACCAGAGACTGCGGACACAGTACAGGGGATGACCAGAGCCAGACTGCGGACACAGTACAGGAGATGACCAGAGACTGCAGACATAGTACAGTGAATGAACAGAGACTGTGGACATAGTACAGATGACCAGAGACTGCAGACAGTAAAGGAGATTATCAGAGACTGCGGACCTTTGGGGAGGGAGGGGGAACGGGTACCTGAATTTGACAGGTACCCGCTCCGACTTCCGCGGAGTTGTCCTTCCTTCTTCCCGCGGCGGCTTCTGTGACAGCCGGGTGCCCTCTGCACATGCACGAGAAGCGCTGCACTTTGTGAATGGCCCGGAGCCTTCTGGGACCTGTCATGTGTCCCAGAAGACGCAGGACCATTCACAAAGCGCAGCGCTTCTCGAGCATGCGCAGTGGGCACCCGGCTGTCACAGAAGCTGCCGCGGGAAGACTGCAGCGCTGGAGCGAGGAACAGGTAAGGTCCTGCAGGAGAGAAGAGCTGAGCGGCCGGCCCGGTATTCTGACATGGTGGCGGCAGAAATACCGGACCGGCCGCTTTACATTCGCTCCATAAGACGCACTGACATTTTCCCCCCTTTTTTTGGGGGAAAAAAAGTGCGTCTTATGGAGTGAAAAATACAGTATATCCTAAACTTGCAGCGTTTAGGAGATAGTCACACAGCATGCAGCCGATGATGTCATCGGTGCATGCGTTCTGAAGGGACAGCACAGCATGCCGGGCCTTCAGAGCTCTGTGCTGTAGCCAAGGACACCTGCGTTCATGCGCAGGAGTGAGGTCACCGCATCTCCGATCATTCATACTCCCAGAGCCTGCAAACCTGGAAGGGGGACCAGGTAAAGATGGTGGCACAAAGGAGCCATGACTGCGTGGCGCTGGAGGGCTCTGTGTACAGGAAAGTCCATCATAATGTACTAGTATATGGTGCAGTTTACTTTTAACTCAGTTTGCAATCCATCACTGGATTTCCTGGTGAATTGCTTAATGACAGCCTGTGTATAAACAATGAAAGCTGGCTACAAATGGACCGAATCTCAGCTTGTTCAGCAGCGACAGGCCAAGAATCGATCCATCTATACTCAGGCTGGTTGTACTAAAGCTGATCCATTGATCAACTTCAGTACAACCAGTCTGTCGGACTTTTAGCATGCGATTACTGTCAGCAGCTATAGCCATCAGCAGTGAACATTGCGTTCCGCCGGCAGGAAAAGCTCTCCACCCGTAGAACACAAAAGCACTGTGGGAGGGATTCCCCCATCAACACCTACTGTGTTGATGGGGAAATTGAGCAAATTTCTTTCCCATTGCGGAAGGAAAGAATACTGCATCACCTATGGCTTATCTAACATAAATGGTCTCATCAATGCTGCATATGAGCTAGTGAGTGTGTCTTTACTTATTCATCCATCAGAATGTTTAACCTCATTAAACAATATTTAAAAATATGTTTTTAAGTGTATATTTAGTCCTTGACATTATGACTTCATAGCCAAAATATATGCAAATCAGCCTGTCTCATCTCCGCTAGAAAAGAGGGATCAGGTGTGTCTGCTCCTCTAAATTACTTAGCTAAAACTTTGTGTATCAGTACTGTATAGACCTGGAAGAAGAGGACAAATCCCAAAAGCTTGTCCTAAAAAAATTATGTTAGTGCAATTAAAAAAGTATCACGGACAGTACTCTGATATCAGCTGCTATTCAGTTTAGTTCACAGCAGTGCTGTTCTTCATTGTACAACAAAGCTGGCCGTACATGGATTGAAATTCGGCTGGCTGGGACCAGCCAAATTTTGATCCATGTATGGCTACTGTGGTTGAAAAAAAAAGGACGATCTACCAATCGACTTCTGTTCAACCACCCTTTTGGAAAATTTCCACTTTATCAATGCTTCCGGCTATAGCCTGCGGTGCTAATCTGTGTATTCTGATGGTGGGGAAGTCTCCCTGTTGTTAGAATACAAAGACACAGTGGGGAGGATTCCCCCATCCACCTCAAACCCACAGTTGAACAAAACAGACTGACTCATCTATGGCTAGCCAAAGGTGGTGCTCTTGTACATATCTACTTACCTGAGGGAATCAGTAGTTTTATAATATTCATATGAAAATTTTAAATATACACAACAAAATAAAACATTTTTTTAGATTTGCAGGTGATGTGATGAATTTGTTAGAAAGTATGAGGGCGCTTAAAGAAGGATGTACAACAGAACTATGAAGCATTGCTATTATGAAATGGACACAGGAGGTCAACCTCTCAGCTACATCAGGACAAATGTAGAAAATGTTTGACTCTAAAAATATAATTTTTTGGCATATAAAGTATAACTGAAAAAGTCATAACTTCCAGTAAACTGAGTGATAAATATTTGAAAAGTGACAGATGTTTAAAAAATGCAGCTTCGTGATCAACTAAATCTGCCAGTAAATAAAACTAATTTTCTTACCGGTGAGAGTATGCAGAACAAGAGTCAGTCCTGCTACCTGGGTCACAGACTTGCCTTGATCTACAGCTTCTGGTTCACCCATCTGTTGAATAATAAAGCACGTGTGTGAATTCTATTTGATGCCTACATAAGCAAAGCAGAAAACTAAAATCCACATATTTTTGAGCAACTTAATGAAAATTCTCAGGGTTTCCTTTTGAAGGCTATGAAGCCAATATCAGCTTAGAGACTGTTACTGTGTTTTACAAGGTGCCTATGCCAATTTTAATGTAACTTGTGCACAGGGCCTTTAGACAGCTTAGTTTTTGTTGGATTTTAAGCTTCCTTGAAATCCATCACTAGGTGCAATATTGTGTTTTTCTCAGATAACGTTTTTCAATTCAAAAAGTAGTGAACTTTCAGCCTACAATGCATTGCTTCTCAGCTCAATAACGCTCTATAATTGCCCAGGGAATTATTATTGAATTCAGTAAGCGAAACAAAAAATAGTACAACATTTTTAAAGAAACAGTTGCCAAATTCACAAGTTTTCAAAAACATATCAAAATGAATTACTGATAAATGTGATCATCTAGAAAACTGACCTTCATCTTGGTTACCACTATTCCCAAAGTGTAAATAGGCCAAAGTAAGGTGTTGCAAATATTTTTGATTCTGGGCAAGTAAAACTTTAAACATTGCTAACTCTTTTTTTGCCAATTAGCCAATACTTTTTTTTAGACAAAACTATGTTATTTTCTATGCAGTCTACAGCTAAATACACATAACAAAAATGTTTCTATTATGGTTAGGCATTTTATTAAGTGTTCTTGCATGGCAAGACCACTTACTGTTATCTCACATATATATTCTTATTAAGTGTTCTTGCATGGCAAGACCACTTACTGTTATCTCACATATATATTCTTATTATTATAGCCAAATTTACCACCCTAACTCCTCCCACAGTTTTTACACTACATAGACAGTAATATACCGAAATGTGCGGATTGTTCCTGGTTGGTGTGCTATTACTTTGTGGAACGTTTCGCCAAATGGTTCACAAAATATCGGCATTTTTGTGGTGAAATTGGTCCCATAGGAATGAATGGCGGAATGTTCAAAACTAGAGTGGGAGCTGACAAAAGCTGGAGTGTGAGCTGAAAAATCAGGACATGATTTCTAAACTACCATCACTCCCTCATTTTCAAGCCCACCTACACAAATCTTATATCAAAACGTTCAGCTATCCCTGCTGCCACTAAAAATGTCCACGGCTAAGCCATAGTCCTGACAGTTTTCACAATATGACCATTTGTTTGCAACTCACGCCGCTCATTGACATTCATTGAAACTCCACTCTAGCCACCTCAAATTTGAAGGGCAATTTCTAAACTGCGACTGTGCCTTCATTTTTAATATTTCAGAGTCATACTATGCATCAAAGTGTAGGTCTGGGTCTTGTGATTCTCACAATATAAAGCTCTTCGGTGTAGAATTTGTAACTTTTAAACTACAACCGTTTAAAGATGGCAGTGAAGTGAGCAAGTTGGAGCAGTTTGTTTATAACCGCTCTTTTCTGCCCTTACTGTAGAGTGAGTTGCCATAGGAACCCAGGTGTGTGAGCAGGCAGCAGAGTGACAAGCCACTCCACCCAGTTACTCCGCCCACTTCAGTTGTAGACTACTGGTGGAGGCAAGAACACTTCACACAATTTCCCCAGAAATTGTAGCTTTTCTAGTTTTTTATATTACTACAGATAATTTGTCCCCTTTATAATAATACTAAAATGACATTTCTGGTACAATACATGTCAAAATCATTTATAAATGTAGGCCTTTTAAAAAATGTTGTCAATGCAATGCTAAAATAATAATGAACAAGACAAACAGAAGCAAAAAACTTTAGCCTGCTGTTAACTGATGCACTCCTGTGGCCCACTATGGCCAAACAAGTTTTGGCCATACTTCTCTTTTAACACGATGGCAAATTTCTTCCAACAAACCACAAATACCTGACCACTCTTCCTTCCACTGACTACCAATGCTGGTGTATGTTTCATAGTTCTGACTGTTGCACTATATACACTATATTGCCAAAAGTATTGGGACATAAAATCAAGCTCCTAGGCATGCAGACTGCTTCTACAAACATTTGTGAAAGAATGGGTCACTCTCAGGAGCTCAGTGAATTCAAGCATGGTATCGTGATAGGTTGCCACCTGTGCAATAAGTCCATCCATGAAATTTCCTTGCTACTAAATATTCCACGGTCAACTGTTAGTGGTATTATAACAAAGTGGAAGCAACTGGGAACAACAGCAAATCGTAAAATGGCAGAGCAGGATCAGCGCATGCTGAAACACACAGTGCGCAGAATTCATCAACTGTCTGCAGAGTAAATAGCTAAAGACCTCTAAACTTCATTTGGCCTTCAAATTAGCACAACAACAGTGTGTAGAGAGCTTCATGGAATGGGTTTCCATGCCCAAGCAGCTGCATCCAAGCCTTACATCACCAGGTGCAATGCAAACGTCGAATGCAGTGGTGTAAAGCACACCGCCACTGGACTGGAGCAGTGGAGAGGTGTTCTCTGGAGTGATGGATCACACATCTCTTTCTGGCAATCCTGTGGACCTGTCTGGGTTTGGTGGTTACCAAGAGAACAGTACTTGCCTGACTGCTTAAGGTTTGGTGGAGGGGGAATTATGTTGTAGGGGTTGTTTTTCAGGGGTTGGGCTTGGCCCCTTAGTTCCAGTGAAGGGACCACTTAAGGCTTTAACATACCAAGACATTTTGGACAATTTCTTCCTCCCAACTTTGTGGGAAGAGTTTGGGGATGGCCCCTTCCTGTTCTAACATGACTGCGCACCAATGCACAAAACAAGGTCCATAAAGACATGAATGAGCGAGTTTGGAGTGGAGGAAATTGACTGGACTGCAAAGAGTCCTGACCTCAACCCGACAGAACACCTTCGGGATGAATTAGAGTGTAGACTGCGAGCCAGGCCTTCTCATCCGACATCAGTGCCTGATCTCACAAATGCGCTTCTGGAAGAATAGTCAAACATTCCCATAGACACAGTCCTAAACCTTGTAGACAGCCTGCCCAGAAGAGTTGAAGCTGTTATAGCTGCAAAGGGTGGGCCAACTCAATATTGAACCCTACGAGCTAAGACTGGGATGCCATTAGTGTTCATGTGCGTGTAAAGGCAGGTGTCCCAATACTTTTGGCAATATAATGTACATTGTGTGTAAATTATCTGTTACACTTGCATATTATTTAACATTTAAAAAAGTATATATGATGCTAGGTCTGCTTTAAAGGAGAAGTTGGAGGTTGCAAAAATAAACATATATTCACCTCTGTGCTTCAACATCAGTGTGATGCTGCAGCTTTCCCACATTTCCCATGTTGCCTGTCAGCTTGGAGCGACGAGAAATCACTATCAGTCACCACTCTCCTCTCTACTCCTCCAGGGCTCACTGGAGCGCCAGGATGGAGAGAGGCGAGCGCAGTTTGATCCGGCTCTCAGCCACGTGTTGAGAGTGGAGCCAGCTGTCAATCAGGCAGCTGGGTGGATCCCAACAAAATTGTTGCCAGTGCCTGGAGCGGCTCTGCTATGTCAGCTGACAGTGGTCTATAGACTTCTGTCTACTGATTCTAGGTCACGCGAGAGCAAAAATAAGTGCACTCCTGTGACCCAAAAGAGAAATATGGCCAAAAAGGCTGGGGCCGTACTTCTACTTTAGGAGGTATAAAGTGGGATCTGATCTGCTGATACGTCTAGCATCACAAAAACCAGGGTTACTGAAGCAAATGAAGATGTAGCAGCAAATACAGAGATGTGAAGGAAGGATGAAATGGATATCGGACCGATAATACATAAAGTAGTTGTCTTGTGAATTTCTGAGCGAGACAGTCTCATCCAATGAAGTCATGACAAAAAAGGAACAGCAATGATTTGCATCATTACTAAATTTTCTTGCACCAGGGTGCTTTCATCCAAGGGTCCATCAGTCTTGAGATTAAACTATCTGCAGGTGGTTTACATGATAAAATTCCTCTAATGCCTTGGTCTAACTAGCAAAATATCCACGTTAAGCCACAATAATATCTTACAAATGATCTGATAAACTATAGCCATCAGCCTTCAGCTATGAACAGAACGCTGACATATGGGAATAATACAATCTGGTTAGTGCCCTTTACATAATTGGCTCCAGCTTATACATCATCCTTTTGTATCATGTCGCCTACAGGTAAATGCAGTCGGCAGGGTCAGTCGGAAAATGAAAATTGATCTACTGGCTAAACTGCCAGTAAACTGTATAAACTGTGTTACTAAAAATAAGCGTTCCTGTGTCTTCAAAGAATACTTTAATGTAGTTGATCAATGAAATGAAACATATTTGCTGTGTGATAATACAGTTTGTCAAAATAAGAGCCAGCTTAGATCAAGTGAAATTTAGTTATTTTCACTGGCATCACATTCATATAAGATCAGTATGCCTAAAATACAGTTTCACAAATAAACTTTTACAAATACACATAAAAGTGGTTACCATACATTACTATCTGCATTGCTTTTTAGTGTCAAAATCAGTCTATAGGCTGATATGCAGGAAAAGGCATCCAGAAAAGGATATTTTGGCTTCAACTGCAATAGATTTTAGCATCGAACTCTATGGTAAGTACACAGTGTTTTGGAGTTTATTTAGTGTCAAGCAGCTGGTTAAAGGTTAAATTATGGTTAGGCTGAAAGATCTGTTGGTTAAAATTGAAGTGGTGGCTGAAGGATTTAGCTTAAAGCATGTTATGATCAAAATGTAAAATCATATAATAATTTCCACATTGTATTTTAATTATTTCTTGTTTACGTCTAATAATCTGTATAATCTTGAAGACCCCCCACACATTTATTTCCTCAGCCCAGGGGTGGGAAGATCATTTTCCCAAGGGGCCACATGAGATGCTGGTACTCTTGTGGAGGGCCAAACCAATATAGGCTGAACTGCCTTAAGCCTTAAGATGGCCATACAGGGATTGATATTTGGCTGGTTCAGCAGGGACCAGCCAAATTTCTATCCATTTATGGGCAGG